AGAGAGGAAAAAATATTTGAGAGAACTTAGAATTATAATTGAATTAAAATTATTTTCTCATCAATAAGTTTGTTTGAAATTTCGGGATTTTTTCTCAAATGCTCTTAAATTCTCTCAAATTCTTTTAAAGTTTAATTCGTAAATACCTAATCTTACAATTAATCAAAAACTTCAAATTTCAAATGTGTTCCGAAAATTTCTAATGTATTACGAATTAGACTCAAGAATACTGCAGCTGTACAAAAATTTCTGTCTACGCCACACAATTACATTTAACTTAGAATTTTTTTTTTTGTCTTTAGCTCTAAACTTTTAATTTGGTCATCTATGTCATTAGATATGCTCATATATAAAAACGCTCTGGAATTTATTTAGATCGTGACTTATTAGTTTATGGTATCAAGAAAAAGAATGAAAAATAAGAAAAAGTAATAAAATTTAATATGAAAACAAAAAGACACTTCAATGGTTTTAATGGAGAATAGCACATTTGTAGCGTAGCATAAAAAAAAAACAACAAACTCAAAAAAAAAATTACCTCAAGTCACGGAAATTTTGTTTTATTTTTTTTTTGTTACTATTTATTTATTTGTTTCTAACTTAACCATTGTTGTTTTTTTTATTATTGTATTGCTTACTTCAATCTAGATGATTTATTGCAAGGGCGGATTTTATAATATGCAATTTATGCTCTAAAATTGTTACACTTTTGATTTTATGTTTTTTGTTTTCCGAAAATATATATATAGAGTGGCATACTCGTATTAAGGTAAACCTGTAAATTGCAATTATTCTGTTAATTTTCTATTTTTTTTCTTGTATTTACAACAATTGTTGTGTAAACATTAGTTAAAATTGTATTGTAAATTTGTATGTCGACTTTTAATATATTGGAGAAGGTCCTCTAACTTTGAAAAATTTATAATTTTTAAAGCTCATTGGAGAATTCATTTCTGCACGGAATTAGACAATTTCCAGGCACTTTTAGTTCACTTAAGATACAAGGATTCTTTTGGAATATTGTCGAAATGTTGAATGAAAATTAGTTTCTCTTGTAATCTTTTGAATTTCTTTTTAGAAATTTGGTAGAAAAATCAACTGCTTTTGCAAAATATTATACTGTTTGAGCAGCAATTGTAATTAAAACAATTATTATTTATTCTAATTCGCAATAAATGGTTCCTTCAACTCTTAATTTGCTTATTCTTCTGTTCTTACACATAAATGTTCTGATACGAAATAAAATTTTCCGAAAATTTTGAAATTTATTATTGTATAACATGCAAATACTAGTACTAGTAGAAGACAGTGGTTTGTAATCATTGTTTCATTAGTTGTTTTTCCAATTTGTATGCTCGAAAATTGCTACAAAATTCCAAAATAGCAAAATAATAAAATAAAATATTAAATTAGTTTTTGTTCTGTCAAAATTTGTAGAATATGTTTTGAATGATGTTGCATTGTTATTTTTAATAAAAACAATAAAAAATGGTTTCTCTTACAATTTCGAACTGATCTTTAAATTTTGATAACAATAAAAACCGATTACAATATTGTTGAACATTAAAATCTTGAACAGTAGAACTTCTTTAAATTGAATTGAAAATTTTTGAATTTATATTATATTACAAAAATGTCAACTACATCACACCCATTATTTAAAATTTCTTCACTTTTCAAATTAAATTTTTCGTAAGTTCATTAAAATTTCTAAATTATTTAAAAAAATTTTAGTCATTTTAACCAGTTGTATATAATCGTGGTTCACTATTATCTAATACTGCAAAAATTTATTCTTATTACATTGAATTTAAACTGTTGATAATGCTTTTGATTTTAACAATTTAGTTAGTAACATTGTTGTTAAACAATGTTGAACTAACATCAATAAATTTGCATTGCAAAAAACTATTTTCACTTGTGTTAGAAATGTTTTTTTTGGTAAATCATTTGAATTAAAGTAGTTGTTTCTTGTTGAATGATTGTACAATATTTATTTTATGAAATTTGCATAATTGATAGATCAAGTAAGAAATTATATATGGCACAAGTTTCTCTGATTTAAGAGAGAGAATGTTTGGGTGATAAACCCACGACTCACGAAAAAAATATTTCGAAATTTCAGTCAATTTTGTGCACGGATTTACAACTAGATTCAAGGTTTTTTATAAATAATCAACCCGCTCGTTGCTGTGACCTCAGAAAAAAGAAAGAGGCACCTTTTTTTATTTACTTACTGTAGTATTTTAATAAACTTCTTGAAAGCTTTAAGATCTCGCCGAGATCTTGATAACAGTACCCCGCAAACGACTCCCGGAAACGAGTGAGTAAAAATCTTAATATTCGGCATTCAAAACGAAATTCAAAAATTCAATCAACTATACTTTATTGCTCAAAAAAAATTTTTCTTAATAAATAAATTGATACTTAATAATTATAGATATAATGAGAAAGAAGAGGAAACAAAAATTAATAAACCATTTACCAATAATTATGTAAATTGATTCCCAACTGATTTGCGTTACAACTTAATTCAACATTTCCTCATTATTTCATTCGGTCATACTCGGAATGACAATCCGTTTTATATGTAAACAGTACCTTTAAAAAATTATCATGAATCATAAAGATGCAATGTGATTCAAGTAAATAAATTGTTTTTTTAATTATTACTCAGATAAGTTATGCAATTTCCCTGTTCCTTTCCAATGCAATCCCAAATAAATTTCCAAAATAAACGCATAATTATACGGCAATTTGCAAAATTCCAAATTGAAAGTTGAATTTTTCTTTAATCTTTTTTTTTCTTTTTTTTTCTTGCTAGAGAAGATGCATTCATTTATAACAAGTTTTTGGCAACAAAAGGTCAAGGTTATTTTTCTTAAGCTCGTCATTTTGTTAAACAAAAATTTTAACAAACAGACGTAATGAATTACAAAATGCATCACGATTTTAAATTAATTCTGTGTATGAAAATGTTTTCATTAAAGATACAAGCATAACAGCAGTTCAAAAGAATCACGACATAATTTTTTTTTAGTTAAAGGTCATTGATAGCAATTTTTTTTTCTTTTGTTTTATTGTTTTTTTTTTCAATCAAGTTTCGATTTTTTAATTATAATGTGAGTGGTTTTATTTTATTTGTAATGTAAGGAATTTATTGACATCACACTATTTCCAAAATCAATGTATTGGGAGAGATTTATTGCAAAGAATTCTCTTTCTCTTTGTTTTGGGAAATCCACGGGGAGGATGAGATATTGCATTTTTATGTTACGAGTATGTCACGAAATTTTTTCGCAAAATTAAATTACAAGATTTCCTCTTTTTGTTTTACTTTACATGATTTATGTATTAAACATACAAACATGAAACCTTTTTAAAATTGAAAGAGAAGTAGGAAAAGGATGAAAAACGATGGTTTTTTAATCGTTTATCGATAAAGGACTGTGGTAACTAAGCAGGCTACATAATAATTTATTCATTTGAAACTATAATCATTTATTGGTTTGAAAGTAAGATAAGTTTTTCTTATTAAAGGAATTTTAAAATTAAATAAATTGATATTAAATGGCTATTATCCTAAACGATTAACTCTAAGCATAATTTTACAATCCAAAATATTAGAACATCATATAAAATTCAGGAAAGCAAATTATTGTAATCTAAGGAAAATCGATAAAATTTTAAAAGTTTCCCATACGGTCTATACCGAATCATAAGCGATTTCCAAAGAAACAAAATTTTAAGTTTTGAAAAATTAAAGACACGTTTACAAGTACTTTCTAACTTTCATTAGTTTTCACTGAATTCATATTTTTTATTCTAATTCAGAATTTTGCTTTAAAAAGCTTTAATCATACATGTTATGAAAATATAATCAGCCTATTTATTAATAGAAGAACTAGAAATGTGATAAATTCAACCTAATTAACTTCATTCTCTTCTGTTGAGTTTGGTAAATTTTATAATCAAAATGTCAAAAATTACTTTTCATAATCATTTTGAGGCGTCACTCAGAATTTCATAATTTCTTGCTAATGCAAAAATTTGCAAAAATCAAAATGCAACGCCGCAATTTTTTTATTGTTACTGCAAGTTGTCAAAATATTTTATATTGCTAAAAAATTTTCTTTTTACCAGATGGCTGAAACGGAATCAAGGTATTTAATTAATTAAAGTTTTTAATAAAAATATGTTGTTTTTTAATGTTTTATGATATTTATGTCAAACAGCGTCACTTTAATTTCCATAACGATCAATAACATATGCAAATAAATGCAACAATCGACGATTCTGACATCAGTGACAAAAATCATCAACACGTGATCGTCAAATCGGTGACAATTGTGAAAAGTACCGATTCTCTCTCTCTCTTTAACAGTACTTTTTTTATACTCTATATTTTCTTTTATTTTTATTTCCCGTCGTACGGTTTTTACACAAAAAAACTCAAAAAAACTTTTAAATAATTTATTTTATATTAATTTTACAAACTATATCTGGGTAATATTACAACATTTATATTATATATTAATCATATATACATATACATATATAAATTTTAATTTTAAAAATTTCACTTTAACAAAATATAAAATATCTTTTCAAATCACTTTAATTTTATTAATTATAAAAGGAAATTTTCTCTTAAAATGATTCAAAAAGTTATTTTTTTTTTATTTCTCTTGTTTTTAAATTTTTTTGTGATCTCATTTTTCTGTGGTCCTTTAAATTTTTCTTTCTTACTGGCAGCATTTTTATACATATATAAGCAAATTAAATGTTGACAATTTACAAAAAATTCCTATATTAAATTTTAATTTAAAAAAAATATATTCATAATATAATTATTATGAGATTATAGAAACGTAATATAAAATATTGATCTCATTTCTTAAAATTAAAAATAATCCTAAATATTTATTTTTAAATTTATTTTTTTTTTTCTAAATTTTATTTTCGTTTATTTTTTACATTTTAGTAGTAATAAGTTGTAAATGACAAGAAATTGACATAAGCACATAAAATTCTGTACAAAAATATTTTTGTTAATATTTTAAAGAACAATTTTTTTTTATATTGACTAGTTATTAATAATATTAAATTATGTAAATATAGTGACTATAAGTAATCCAATATTAATTGATGTATAATAGTTAAAATTTTCTCTCATACAGTTTATTCACCCGTATTACGAAACATTATATTCCTTATTATTTTATATGTCAAATTATTTACTATTACGTTATTTCATATGTCATATTTAATTGAATTGGTAACATTGATTCTTCCTCTCAATTTTATTTATGAAGCTATATAACTATTAAGTCAAAATATGTATAAACTTATTTCATGTCATTTACTCCTTTCGAAATGCATATGTGTTGTGTTGAAAAAGAAAAAATGGTTTAAATCAATTTTGGATAATAAAAATAATGATAAATGAAATGATGAAATTCAAAAATAAAAAATAAAAAATTTTTAAAAATAAAACTAGTGTGATGTCATCTGGTGATAAATTTATGAAATTATACAAATTAATTCTTTGTTTCCTTTTCATATTTTTTTTTTGTGTTTTTTTTTTTTTTTGGTTTTTTTTTTGTTTTGTTAATTTATAGTCGTCGGTAAACGGTATGGAATTGTTGATTCCTTGTTTATTTTGACTTTTTATTTATTCTTTTAGTAAAATGTGATTTAGTCATTTTGGTATTTCTTTTCGAAATACTGGTGATCTCTCTGTGTTAAAGAAAAAGACAAAAGAATAAATATACCCAAGCAGATTTATTATATAAAAGAAATATGAATAAATTTAATCAATTATAAATTTTATTTCGAAAAAAAAAATAAAAAATTTTTATGTTAATTTTTAACAATAAATTCTGGCAGAATCCATTTTGAACAATAATTTTTGGCATTATAAAGACAAAGTGAATGTCTAAAATTAGAACGTCATATGCTTTAAAAATTCTCTCACTTTCGCGCATTATTATTCTTTTATTCTTTTCAAAAAAAATTCTAAATATTTTTAATTTATTATAATTTTTATAAGACCATATAAAAAAATTTTAATAAATTTTTTCTCTTTTTTTTTCGAAAGTAAAATCTTACATATGCTTTTCGTTTATTGTTTACGAACACAGTCACAAACACAATATTAATAAATTTAAAAGCGAATCGAAAATCGTAGTGGGATTTTTGATTTTTTTTTGTTTTTGAATCGATAATCGAAAGTCAACAATGCGAAAAAAATAATAACGAAAACAAATCAACTGACATAATACGATATGCATGTTTATCGAATTAAATTTAGGATACAGTTTTTCTTTGATATAAAATTTATAAAGTTATAAAAGTTATGAAAGTCTTAATTTTTTTTTAAATTATAAAATTTAAATTCATCATGTAATATGCATTTTGCACTTCCAAAACTATATACAAAAATGAAATGACATTTGACAGATGAATTTTTATTGCAATTCGAATATAAAATTTCGATTCTCTGCGTATATGGTATTATTACTTAGTGATGAAATTTCGAAATGAAATAAGAAAATTTTTCGATTATTTGGAAATTGTAATGAATAATACTTGGTACATCCTGAAAGTCTGTATGATATTTTCAATTAAAGTGTCACGTGCCATTAAAATGAAATTATTCATGTTATTTTACGATCACGATTACGTACAATTGGAAAATTGTTGTTCGCTTGGATTGTATAGGAATTTTTTCAATTATTTTAAAATATTTGCTACTATCAAAACTTATTCACGTAAAAAATCAATTAAACATTTTACCTGTATTGTTTTTTTTTTGTGTTTTATTCCACGTGTAAATGTTCAAAATCTATCCCTCCAGGTACAATTCTATAACGTCCTTTTTCACGAAAATATATTGGTTCAATACTATCATCCCGTAATGTTCTCTGTTGATAATCATTTGAAAATTCAGAATGTATTAAATCTTTAAAATGATCATCTGATAATGTTCTTTGTTGTGTATCGAATTCTTGACCTTTTGTTTCTAATTCTTTTAATAATTGTTTAAGTTCAATATCTTCATTAAAAGTTTTTTGTTGCTGGGTATCAATAGAGTCTTGATTAAATTTTAATTGATCAGATATTTGATCTTTATTTAAAGATTCTTGTATAGAACCATAAATTTCTTTAAAATGTTTTTGATCTTTATGTAAATCACTATTCAATTGTATTGAATCGATTGCAGCTGTTTGTGTTCCTATAGATTCTTTCGATTTTGTGCTTTCATCTAAGATTTTTCTCAACTCAGCACTATTGTCTAAAAGCTTTTGTTCACTTTGAACAGATTCCTGTTTATCAGTTGTTTGTATTGAACTGTTTTCGACTATCTTTGCAGAATTCAGCAATTTGTTATTCTCTTCTGAAATTTGTTTCAATTCTGCATTGCTATCTAAAAGTTTTTGTTCATTTTGAATAGTTTCCTGATTGTTAATTGACTGTATTAAACCACTTTCAACTACTTTCTCTTGCGAAGAGTCCTTTGACTTTGTATTTTCTTCTAAAACTGATCTCAATTCTGCATCGTTATTTAAAAGTTTTTGTTCGGTGTGAATAGTTTCCTGATTACTATTGGATTGCATTGAACCACTGTTGGCTACCTTTTCTTCTGTAGAATCTTTTAACTGTGCATTTTCTTCTACAACACGCCTAAATTCTGTGTCGCTGTTTAAAAGTTTTTGTTCAGTGTGAATAGTGCCCTGATCACTACTCAATTGTATTGAAGCACTTTCAAGTACTGTCTTTTGCGACGAGTCTTTTAATTTCGCATTCTCTTCTAAAACTGATCTCAATTCTGCATCGTTGTTCAACAGTTTTTGGCCGGTGTGAATAGTTTCCTGATTACTATTTGATTGAATTGAACCACTTTCAACTACCTTCTCTTGTGAGAAGTCCTTTAATTTTGCATTTTCTTCTAAAACTGATCTCAATTCTGCCTCGTTATTCAACTGTTTTTGTTCGGTGTGAATAGTTTCCTGATTACTACTGGATTGAATTGAACCACTTTCAACTACCTTCTCTTGTGAGGAGTCCTTTAATTTTGAATTTTCTTCCAAAACTGATCTCAATTCCGCATCGTTATTCAACAGTTTTTGTTCGGTGTGAATATTTTCCTGATTACTATTTGATTGAATTGAACCACTTTCAACTACCTTCTTCTTTGAGGAGTCCTTTAATTTTGAATTTTCTTCCAAAACTGATCTCAATTCCGCGTTATTCAACAGTTTTTGTTCGTTGTGAATATTTTCCTGATTACTATTTGATTGAATTGAACCACTTTCAACTACTTTCTCCTTTGAGGAGTCCTTTAATTTTGTATTTTCTTCTAAAACTGATCTCAATTCCGCATCGTTATTCAACAGTTTTTGTTCGGTGTGAATATTTTCCTGATTACCATTTGGATGAATTGGACCACTTTCAACTACCTTCTCCTTGGAGGAGTCCTTTAATTTTGTATTTTCTTCTAAAACTGATCTCAATTCCGCGTCGTTATTCAACAGTTTTTGTTCGGTGTGAATAATTTCTTGATTACTATTTGATTGAATTGAACCACTTTCAACTGTTTTCTCTTGTGATGAGTCCTTCAATTTTGCATTTTCTTCTAAAACGGATCTTAATTCGGCGTCGTTATTCAATAGCTTTTGTTCGGTATGAATGGTTTCTCGATTGATATTTGACAGTATCGAATCACTTTCGACTACTTTTTCTTGCACAGAATCTTTTGATTTTGCATTCTCTTCTAAGATTTGTTTTAACTCTGCATTGCTATCTGAAACTTTTTGTTCAATGTTAAAAGAATCCTGACTGCTGCTACTGTACTCTATTGAACCATTCTCGATTTCTTTTTTCTCTTTATCTAAAAGTTGCGTATCAGTAGATTTTTGGTTATTACTTGATTGTGTTGAAGCATTTTCAATTATCGTTTGTTGTACAGAATTGTCCTTTTCAATTTTTTCTTGTCCAGAATTTAAATTTGATTGTAATAATTGGCCTAATTTTTCGTTAGTGTCCAAAATTTTTTGTCGAGTTTCATCAAACTCTTGTAATAATGCTCTTAATTCTTCGTTGCTATCTAAAAGTTTTTGTTGTCCATCAATAGATCCTTGAAAACTATCAGAAAAATTTTGACTATTTTCATTTATTTCTCGTTTATTTCCAGTAATTTGTTCATTTGGTTTCACATTATCATCATCTACAGTTGAGTTGTCCAGGGTTTCCAAATTTTCTATTATTTGCTTTTGTTCCGAATTATCTAGCCTCACGTCTTGTTTATCAGTCGTTATATCCAACCCATTTGTGCTAGATTCAGTTTTTGAGGCCTCCTTATTAACTGAAACGTCTAAATTTTTATCTCCAACTGAGCTTTCTACAAACTTAGTTTGATCAACATTTTCATTTTCTTTTGTTAATCCACTTGAAATATTTATATCCGGTACTGCAATTTGCTCAAATTTATTCAAATCATTTGTTTTAGAAACTTGTTCATCCATATTTTTTTCCAAATTTAACACTGACTCATTTTCTTTATTAATTTTTTGAATTTCTTGTCCTAATTTAATTTTTTCATTTTTATCTTCTTTTATATTACTGTTTAATTCTGAATCTAATGGTATTGCGTTGATTTCCTCATCAGGTACATTTATTATTTGAACAGGAATTAATATTTCTTGCAATTGTTGATTTGAATTGATCTTGTCAAATGATGATTCTTTTTGTTGAGATAATTTTGAATTTTCATTCAATTCCATTTGTTTAATATCAAGTTTTGATTGTTTATCTAAACTAGATTGAGCTTCTTCAATTGAGCTACCTAATAAATCTTTGTTGATTGATAATTCTTTTGATTCCCGAGTGTCAGAATTTGTTACAGAATCCGTTTTAGTACCAGAATTTAAATTAAAAGAAAAGTCATTTTTGTTTTCAGGTATAGAATTCGTTTCCCCAACTAAATCATTCGAATCATTTTTGACGATTTCATTTAATTCTTGAGAACTTTCTAAATTTGCTACTTGTTCTTTAATAGAATCGTCTATTGAAATATTTCCAACTTCAGAACTTTCCGTCTCACTTGTGTTATTTACCAAATCACTTTCATTATCCTGATCATTTTTGTCAGCGATCTTTTCCAGCTCTGCTATGTCTGATTGCTCACTTTGTGAGTCACTGGACTGTGTAGGAACATGAGAATCTTTATTAGATTCGTTAATTGTATTTTTGGATTCAGAATTATTTTCAGTTGTTGAAACACTTTCAATTTCTTTATTTTCTGCTATATCTTTTGATGATTCAGTGGAATCTTGTTTAATATTCTCTTTTATTTCGCTTTCCGATGAATCGTTGGACTTCTTTTCTTCTGAATCAATTTGACCTATCATATCATTAGAATTAGACTGAAGTTTGTCTGTAATCTCTTGTTCTTTTTCAGTTGTCACATCAATTTGACTTAATACAGTCTGCTTTTCAAAATCGTCATTGTTCAAGTTTTTATTTAAATTTTTCAAATTGTCTGATTCAATCGCTAACTCTTTGGAATTTTCAATAACTTTTTGGTCTTGATCATCAATTTTTTGTTTTGAATCATCGGTTACTGATTTTGCTTCTCGGTTTATTTCTGTTTCCCTAATTTGAGATTCTGAATTTGTAACCAATTCACTTGCTTCAGGTGATATCGATCTTGAAGTAACTACTTTGTCTTCATCCAAATCAATTGGAATTGTTGTAGTGCTGTTAATCGTTATATCAATATCTTCATCAATTTTCTCATCTACAGTAGATTCAGTAATAGATTCTTCATCTTCATAAAAATTTTTAAATGTAAATCGCGATGGAATTTTTCGATCAGTAATGCCACCAATTATCTGGTCATCTGAAGTTTCAGTTGTTTCAGGAATAAATTCAGTTGTTACAGGTATTGGTTCAATTGATTCAATTGAAGAAATAACAGGTGTTGTTGTCAAAACCGGCGGGGTAGATTCTTTATTTATATACCATTTTGGATAATTTTCATTTTCATCTATGTCATCATTGATTTTACTTAAATCTAAAGGGATCTCATTTTTAAATGTTTTTATATTTTGAGCTCTAGATGGTCTTAATCTTGTTCTACTCCTAGTACTAGTTTCTTCTTCAATTGGAGTTGAAATTGTCGTTATTTCTTCAGTAGAAGCTGTTGTGCCTCTAGTTCGACCAATAGGTCTAGGTCTTCTAGAATTTATAGGTCGTGAAGTTGGTTTAACTGATTCTTGTGAATCTTCATCCTTTTTATCTTTTTCATTTGAATCATTTTTACTTTCTGTCGTTGCTTCTGTTGATGTTGTAGATTCTGTTGTTGATGATGATTCACCGCTTGTCGATACTTGTAATTTTATTGTGGTTGTCTCCACTTCTTTCGCTGAATCTTTTTCAAGCGCAACTTCAGTTGACTTTTCTAAATTTGATTCTGATTCATTTTCATTTGGTAGCGATTTTGATGACTCATCCGAATCTTTTTTTTCATTTTCATTAGAATCTTTGTCATTTGATCTTGTATCCTTTGATTCTAATTCTATATCTGATTTCTTATCAGATTCGATATCTGATTCAACAGTAGTTTCTAAAATTTTTTCCGTTGTACTTGCTTCTGTTGTTGTGGTGGTTGCTGCCTTTGTTGTTGTTGTTGTAGTAGTTGCTTCTGTTGTTGTTGTAGTGGTAGAGGAAGTAGCTTCAGTTGATTTTATTCGATCAATTGGTTTTTTTGAAGTTTCATGTTCATCAATTGAATTTTCATTTAACGATTGTGATAACTGAGATTTTGTAACTCTTATTGATGAAGGTCTTGATGGTCTACGAAAAAAACTTTTTGTTGTTGATTCTATTTTAATTTCAGAATTATCTTTATTCGAATCTACTTCTGATTCTAATTCTAAAATTTCATCTGAATTATCAATTGATGCAGCTGTTGTTGTTGTTATTGCAGGTTTTTTGAAAAATGGTTTACGAGTTTGAATTTTATTTATTGGTTTGACGGGTTTTTGAATTGATGCTCTATCATTTTCGTTATCATTATCAATATCATCATCATCATCATTATTTCTAACATTATCATGTCGATTATTTGAAGATTTTCTGTAGGGTTTGTCTTCACTAATATCATTATCAGATGAATCAGATTGTTGATTTGATTGATTATTTTGTATTAAAACTCTTTTACTAGATCTATAACCACCACCTGGTTCTCTATAACTATGAAAACGTTGTGCTGGTTTAGAATCCTTAACTTTACAACATTTTGGATAAGGAAGTGTTGTATCTAAATATTCTGCATCTGGATCCCATGGGCAGCTATTTTAAAATAAAAATACATAAATACAAATTAATTAATAAATAATAAAATATAAATTATTCTCTGTTTTTTTTTTTTTTTGTTGTTATTTTTAATTAAATAATCAATTTATCACATCATTTTTGAAATTAAAACAAAAAAAAATTAATCAAATTCAAAAATTGTTTTTTTTTTTTCTTCAACAACCAAAATTTAAAACCACCACCTTAGCATGACCTCGATTTTAATATTACATCATAGCCAATGTACATACAGACATACTATTTAATTTTGTGTATAAAAAATTTATTTCAAAACTCAAATTAAACAGTTATTTAATTTATTTTCCACTTTTTTTCTTTTGCTATTATATTGTTGCCACTGTCATATACGGATAAATTGTCCATAAAAAAAAATATTTATTTTTTAATATTAATGATTCATATATAAAGAAAAAAATTCAACACGATATAAGCAACACTATTAAATCTTCTTCTTTTTATATTGCTTTAAATTTTACATTCCACAATACACACAGATGTAATGCATGTAAATATTACACTCATACAATTATTTTGGCATTCCATTAAAAGCACTTTCATTAAATTTCATTTTCTTTCATAATTAATTGTATCCACTATAATTTCCATTTAATTTATAATTAATATTATAAATAATTCACTTACTAATTAACTTTAGCACGTCCACTACCATCTCTAAAACATACAATTTGTAAACATTCATCTGGATGATTTTGACGTTCACCCGGTTCTAATATTAAACCATTTAATTCACATTGTCCTGAATCATTTAAACGTAAATCCTTAATTAACGAATATGTTTTAACATTATTTATTAATATCAATAAATTGATACTAATACCGATTAGACTAGATATTTTCATTATTGACTTCATTTTCATACGAGATCTAAACACTGACTGAAGATTCTCATCAAGATACAAAAAATTTTTAAATTAAAAAATTTTTTAAAAAACCGCTATTAAAACAAAAAATAAAAATATCCACACATAATAACAAAAAAAAAAAACTATTTTGGTAAATAACCGAATCCCAATAAATTTTCTACTGAATTCTCAACAAAATATTAAATACAAAAACAACAATAATAATGATATAAAATATACTTAAAGATGATGATGATGATGACGACAACAACAGTACAATTGTATACGACAACAACCACTATATAAAATGATGACCAAAATACAAAAGTATAAGAAAAAAAAAATTTCCTGTGCAAAATTATTATTATGATTCCAAATAAAAAAAAACACAAAAAGCATAAAATTGAATAAAAAAAAAATCACTTAAATATCTTTAAAATCAAACTAGTTTCAAGCTAAAGCTAAAATAATCATATTATGTATATACATACATACAGCACTGGAATGAGAGAGAGAAAGAAGCGCATACCTCAGCTTAAAGTAACCAAATTAATGTCAACATATTATCATAGCATCCAAATTAGCATAATCAATAAAAATGCTAAATGTTAAAAACAAAATAACAAAAATAATCAAAAATCAAAATAAATGGTTAAAATTGAAAAAAATCGAAATTGTTTCTTGACAACTATAAGATAGAAAACCAATTTTATTTGTTAAGCTCAAGAAAGAAATTTATTTTATAAAAGAACATTGTTTTAGACAATATTGATAACTAACAGGCCAATTTCGGTAATGACAAATAACTTGAAGGCTACTTACGATAGTGACAAAGTACAGCATGTGATAAAATAAATAATTATAGCATATACCATTATCGATTATAGTGAAGTAGTTTGTAAAACGTTAGCATTTAAGAGTTAAGAGTCGGCTTTCTTGGGTATACTTTACAAATTACATTATCTTACAAATTACGTATATAGGTACGCAAGTTCTCATAATAAGTTCTCGTGACATTTTTTATTTTTCATAATTCTGTTAAATATAATTTGAAATTTATTATGTTTTTATGTTAATTATTTATTTCTTCGTTATTGTAGCTGGAGACTATATCACTTTTTCTCTTGAAATAGGAGAGAAAAGAATTTTATTCCGAAGAAAAGAGAATTTTTTTTAAAAATACATCTACAAAAAAAGAGAGAAAATAAGTTTTCGCTCAACTCCTCTTCACAAATTACCAGTTGTGATTTGATAATTTCGCTATGATTTATGATCATTGTTCACATTTTTAATTCACAATCACAGTATTCATAATAAACTACAATTATTCCATTCCGTCTCTAATAGTCACGATTATATTTATGGGAACTTCCATTTTTCGAACAATAATCATAAAAATTGGCAGAATTTTATATTATTTTTAAATGAGAGTGTTTTTTTTTATTTTTTATTTCTCTATGAACATCAATTAAACGCCAAAATATTAATCCCAAAAATTCATTAACACTAAAGAAGTAAATGCTTTATGATCAGAATGCATACAATAAAATTTAACAGTAGAAGTGTTAATTATATTAAAAGATTTTATTGAAAAGCAATTAATTAACCAAAAAAGTGGAAACATCTTGAAAAAATTTTAACATTTAATTCATAATAAATTTATTTCTAAATGTTAAATAAATATTTTTGCAAAATTTTAGCAACTTGAACCATGGAAGAACAAAAATTTTTATTAGAAACCATGGGATCATATAAATAACTAAAATTCTCTGCTTCATTTGTATAAATTATCAAATTCAATAAAATACTTTTCATCTGGACTGTACCTCATAAGTTGCACTTTTACAATCATAAACGAAATTAATATTTTTCCAATTAAGAATGCATATAAGAATTCCATAATACTCTTAAGAACATTTTACAAATAAAACAAATGTCATGCTTTAATGCGTGTTGAAAATAATTTAAAATAAAAATTATAATTACTGTAGACAGGTTATAATTCTAAAAATCTCAGGTACCTACTTCAATTTTATAAGATTTTAATTTTGCTGTTTTTTCTTTACAATTATTGATTTTCTTATATAAAAGGTGTGTGTATTTACGAAAAAGCTTTCAACCGTTTAAAAATGCCGGTTTCGTTCAGTATTTCTGTTTGTTTTTATTTATAATGAATAATAATTAATAAAAATATATTTTTTTTTTTGTATATTTACAAAAAAAAAACGACACAAAACAAAAGAAAAAAAATATTTATTTTCGAAATCCTTTTTTTTTTTTATTTTATTCTTTTTTGCATTAATGAAATTTTATTATTAGATTTAAATGAGATCTTGAAACAAGATCCATGGAAATGAAATCATTTTGTCAAAATATCGAACAATAAACGAATTATTAATCGAAAAATTCGATTATACTAGATAAAATTCCCGATATAACAGTTAATAAGATTTCAATATCAATACTGACAATATTTTTTACGTACATACGTATATTTTAGTCACATATAAAAAAAAAAATCTAGAAATAGACTCGAGGTGAGATTTGGACTCCTATGACCCTGTTATTGTTCACAAGATACTGATTATTAGTATCGGTTTAATTATCGTTGATTATGAGTACCGGTTAAACAATTTCCTTACTGGAGTTCCCTTTTCATTGAAAAGCTAATTTCTTTATTCCCTCAAAAATAATTCAATTTAAAAACTGTTATACGTTAGTAAAACTATTCCAATCAATTATGAAACGAAGTTAATTTTATGCAGCCTAAAATCCTCACACTTATGAAATTCCTCTGATTTAAAGAAAAGGACTAGAACTCATTTTCATTTAACTTTCATCTTCTTTAACATTAGCTTTCATTTCTTTCAACCACATTTAATTATCTCATATTATTTCTTCATTAGGATTAAAAAAAAGCACAATAATTTTAATAAGATATGATCCGAGACGGTGCAAATAAGGTATAAAAATTGAACTAATTAATGAAATCAATTTGATTTAAAAATTTTTCCTTTATTTTTGTTGTTTTTTTTTTGCTTCAATACTTTGATTTAATTTCCAGGAAAAATAAATTTATATTTTTTATTATACGTGTATAACACTAATGATTCGGTTTTTTTTTTTGGATGAGTCAATCAACAATTTCAAGGACATTTTGGTACACTCATATTGAAATTATGAATATAAAAAAAATATTTATGATAAAATCTTTTATAATGTTATACGAAAATATTTGCAATATGAAATTCATATATGGTTGCAACTATACACTTACTTTAAATATTAAATTACAAAGTATTATTTTCCAATTTATTACAATAATTTACAATAAAATATAAATTAATAATTACAATTATTGATTAAAAAAATATTATTGCAGTGTGATTATTACTTTATTTCTTTATAATTTGTAAAAAAGAATTGTAATACGCAATGTTTTATAAATATAATTGCAAAATATCGAATGACAAATACTTTAAATACCAGAAAATAGTAGATAATTAAATTTTTATATTTCTATTTTTAAAAATCACTAGAATCCTAAAGGCAATCCGATTTTTCCCATTTCGGATTATGCATACTTTAAAGACCGAAACAGAAGTTGAAAAAAAAATTTTCCGGGATAATAAAAAAATGTTATACACGCTATTTATATTGAAAATCCCCATTAAAACTGGTATATACAAACTACTTAAAGAGATTTGTAACTTTTATTAAAAGATGAATATGAATTATACATTATTGATTCCTATCTTTAACTTAAGCTATTTCTTTAAGTGATGACAATTTAAAAATAATTTAAACACGGAAGCACTAATTCTTTTACAAATTGAATGAACAAATTATTAAATTACAGTAATTTTGTCTAATTATATTTTCGGAGTTTCTCTTTCAGCTCTTACCGTATACGTACGTTTTTTATCCTGTTGAATAATTGAATTATTTCTTCTTCTTTATTAAATTCTTTATTTTTACAGCAAAATAAATATAAAATTAAATATATTTTAAATTTACATTTAAAATGAATAATTCATGTCCAAAAATTTGCGCGATATTAAAACGAAAATAGAATTTTAAATCGATTTTTATTGTTACAATTTAAATCGATTTCAAATATTTTTTTTTAATTTAAATTCAAAAGAATTTCAAAAAAACAAATAAAATCGTGAATTGCCAGACGTTCGCATCAATCGATAACACTAATAAAATATTGACCTAAAGAGACGTCGTCGTATTTATTTCTTAAACACAAAGAATTTAATGCGAGAGTAAGAAAAAATTAAAAAGGTTTCAAGGTCAGAACGTCATTTTCTTTTTAGTGTTAATGCAAATGATAAAATATAATGTGATAAGTAATAGCATTAAGTGTTTATTTATGTTTCAAAACACATTAACAACGCACATAATACAAGTACCAAAATAATATACTCACATTAAATTTTATGTTGGAAAATGTTTCTGTACTAAGGACCTAGTGATTGTAGTACAAAATCGAATTCATGGCGAGTTTGTTTTTATTGAAATTTATTAATGTATAAATTTAGAATATTACTCTTAGTTTCATATGTAAAACCCTCATTGTGTAATCATGAAAAAATATTTTATACATAATCTTGATATCGGATTCGAAATTTAAAACCTACTTAGGAATTGTAATGAAGAATTAACAATAGGTAAAATTTTAGGTTCGAACTAATTTTAAAAATCCTTTATAATTAAAAACTTCTATTTGTCCAATCAAATTTGTGGTTACTATAATTTTAATTACATTCCCGGTAAAAGTTACCAAAAAGTATTCCCGGTTCCGAAGTTATCATTACTCAAAATTAACAATATTTTATTTGCCGGCAACTCTCATTTCTTTGAAACTATATAGAAGCTTAATGAAATTTTTATAAAAAAATATGGTATCAGTAAATGGTTTCTTGTCAGAACAATAGCTATTTTAAGTGTTCCACACAATGAAAAATAATTTTACTAATTCGCTGTTAAGGCTTCTTTTCATATTTTG